TGAAAATGTATCAGCTACTACTACAGACGGTTATGATACTGATGCASAATAATGAACACAACACACGGRGTTTTCCAAAAACGTTTCACTAGTATTGATTGATTAGATTACTTACACGTATCGATCTCAATCCAATCCTAGCCTCACCTGTTCACGAATCACATACGATATCGTGAACCTTTCTACCCCTAGCCCTTGATACAAGATTTCCTATTTTCTAGAAACCCTTATCCCTTTGCTAAGAATTGCTCTAGTTGTGTTAAACCCTTCCCACGAGTTCACACACCCTATATATACTAATGGACTCCGACTAACCCTAGCCTTGCCCTCTAYTCATGCAAGATTCACTATTTCCTTAAATCTTCATGTGTAGATCTTCTTTCCTTATCTTYTCCTAAGAATAAGGAAACCTTCTAGCTTGAGTAAATCTTCTCCAAGATATCCTCCAGCCTTCCTTGAGTGCAATCACGCCGTGTTTCCTTTGGRCTGACTCACYCCARAAGCCCATCCGGGCCAAAGCCCACAGGCTGATTCATGCTTCTCCTGAAGCACTCCCATCTGATGCTGCTACAGACTCCTGCTTCAACAGCTGCATCTTCAGACTAATGCCCGCGCATACGCATGGGTTTGATCAAGAGTTGGTCATCACCTAAGATCTAACAACCTGTCATGATTCACTTTGGGCTAAAAAGGCATCGTCTATTGATAAAGCTCTTCGTGCATATATCCATTAGATAACTACAAAAGAAGGAGGAGTTAGACTAAAGGAGTGTTCAACGTATCTCTCATCTCAATGAAAGCATTTTTTTTTATGCCCACAAGACAATGATACTCAGTTACCTAAAAAAAAGACTAACACTATTAGTTTAACTTTTTGACCAAACTGAGATATTCACTGTTGATTTGCTACATTTTTTTTCTCGACAAATCTTGTAGATTGGCAAAAGATATTAGGGAATCAATGAACTTAAAACTGGAATTGGAAACTACAGTTTTCAATGTCACATTCTCGCAAAGTAATTTCTCTAAATGGATAAAAGTGGAAGAAAAGTAAGAAGAAATGAATCCAATAAAGAGTTGTCACAAGCTTATAAGTTATATTAAGAATCAG